ATGCTTATGACAGTTTTTGTCAGATTATTTTGAAATACATAATAATTAAACTAATTTTAAAAAATAAAAAAAAAAGTCTAAGGTGGTTCTTAGGAAGTGAGTCACACTGGCGTGACCCATGCCAGGCCATGTAACACACACAGCACAATGATGTGGTTAAACTGCTCAACCAAAACCATAAATATGTTCCATTGGCCTTGGCACAGCCAATGACAAAAAGGGTCACTCACTTAGAGTGAAGGTTTAACCTTAAACTGAGTGCAGTGTTTTTCCAATACCTTTATACATTTATGTATCTCATTTCTCACAGTTGACTAAACCAAAAAGAAACCAGCCTACTGCATTGCATTTATTTTTCTTTTAAAATCTTCACATTTAGTGCATATTTAGCACTACCCTTACGAAAAATTTAATCAAGTGTGCTATTAGTATGCTTCCTTTAAACTAAAAATAGGAAAGTATACTTTCAGTCTACTTTTTATGTACTTCTCAGAAATATACTTAAAATTACATTTAAGTATACTTGACTCATACTTAGAAAAAGTCTAAATATATATGAGCTATACTATGAGCTATACCGAGAATGTTTTCATTGTTATACGGTAGGGGGCGCTAGTACACATCTTCTGTACAGAATTTCCAGAACACAAGCGAATAAGAAACCGAAACAACATAAAACAGCATCAAAACTGTGTAAAGTTATGGAATAAAATGTCGACCCATGAAGAGGTAATAATGACTGTCAAGCGTTGGGGTGTTGATCGACTCTATCTACGTTTTGATTATCATTCTGAATCCAATTCATAGTTTTTTTTTCCAGCTTTTTGTTCAAATTCAAAATGTTGTTTATTTCTTTCTTTATATATATTTTTTATGTATGAAACTTACCCACATTCAGGTGATTATAAAAAATAATGCATGAAGCTAGAATAAAATGTTTTTGTTTACAAGCAGAGACCCTGTTCTTTCTTTTGATGTTTTGTATGTTCAGATATACATATAACAAAATATATAGCTACAAATAAATACGTAAATACAGACATAGTAGTATACTTAAAGTATGATGTAAAGTTCACTTAAGGAAAACTTACGAGTAAACTTGCAGTATAAAACTACTAAACTAGTAGTTTATTGAGACTATACTTCAAAGTGTACTAAAAATGCTACTGCAAGTATTTAATTAGTAAACTAGCAGTATACTTATAAGTTCGCTTTTAGTGTAGTTGCAGTACAAACTAAAAACATAGATGTAAACTAGTTGTGTACTCAAAGTTTACTACTGTTATACTTAAAGTATACTTAAAAGTATACCCTACTTTTATATACTAGAAAGTGGGCCAATTTAGTCCCAAGGAGTATTGAAATAGTACACTGATATTTGTATACTTACTACATAAAGTATACTTCAAAAAAATATACTTAAACTTTACTTAAGTACACTTAACTTGAAGTATACTTCTTTTTGGTAAGGGTATAGCCAAGTGTAACGTCAAAACATGTTCACCCTTGATAAATAGCTTAACTGCTGTTTATGACTGGTTGTGGTCAATACAACATATTTTTCAAGACACCGTTTCTGTTGCAGTTGTTTCCTGTTGTTGATTCACAGATGATCTTCACTGAGTGTTGTGTTTGTATAAATACAATTATTATATCATCTCTGATAATTATTAATCTCTAAAAAGCAGAGACCCCAGGTGGTTATGACTATTTATGACCATAAATCGAATAAACTGAATTGTTAAACTGAATTTGTTAGCTTTTCATGCCATTAATCCAAATAAATAACAAAAATAATAATAGCAAATAGCAAAAAAAGCAGGATAATACACATCCACAATCCTTCATTAAAAAATACATTAACACATGTAAACGTAAAATGTAATAGCTTAGGCTATTTTTTAAAACCATTTGCACAGTTATATTAACTGTTATATACAGTTATATTATGATAAGTTATGTCTAGTTTTCTCTACAATTAACTTTCATTAATGAAATACAGAGGGCAGCAGAGGAACTGCTGAGATGCAGAGAGATTTATAGTTAATGTCAGCACTGTTATAGTGAACTGTGTAATTAATTAAGTGTGACTGTGTAAATAATAATAATAATAATAATATAACCATTACTTTTTGAATCAAATATGCTTTTCTGGTTAATAATTTTCGAGTTATGTCTACAATGAAGAAACTAGCTTTTGAAATATATTTTCAATTATATATTTTTTATATTATATTTTGCGATTTTCTGTTCTCATATAAACTTGCTGTTCTGCCTCATTTAATTGATGCTACACTAGATGTAGAACGAGAAAGATCCCCAATCATTTAACTCATAAATTAGTTTAAAGAAATGCAAAATCCTTCATGTATAATCATTTTTATCTGATCAAACCTACACAGTCTGGAACAACATCAACAATACCTGTAAATGAGTGCTTTTTTTAGTAAAATTAGTGAATCAGTGATTTACATAAGTGGAAAAACTTCTATTAGTGACAGTGGCCTATTGACAGCTTGTCTGATCCTCTGACACTGAATCATAATTTGAGCACATTTGTTTCCTGAAGCTTAAATCATTCTCAAGATAAACAATGTCAACCTTCCAGAGAAGAATATTAAATAAAGTTCCAAACATATGTTTGGGAAGAGACTAATCATTAAGTCCTGTCAATCATCATTACAAGCCTAAATAAGCAGTCATTGCACTGTCCCAGCATCATTTCTCCCGGTATCCCTCCACCTCCCCATCTCCTCCTCTATTTCTGTTGTTCTCCCTCTATGTAGTACCGCAAAGGGGGGTTGAACTCGGAGCTCAAGCTGAGCCTTGGGTTCGAGCCTCCATTGAGGACAGCAGGCCAAGTTTGTTTACCATTTACCATTAGAACTGGGTGGGAAGGCAAACTTGTGAAATTAATATAGTGGCAAACATGAGTTGGACTTATGTCATGCTAGGGAGAATAAGGAATGCTGTGAACAGTTTCTGATGTAAACACACATCTATGTATATAACCAACAAAATACCGCTACACAGAACAATACAATATACAGGTGCATCTCAATAAATTAGAATGTCATGGAAAAGTTCATTTATTTCAGTAATTCAACTCAAATTGTGAAACTCGTGTATTAAATAAATTCAATGCACACAGACTGAAGTAGTTTAACGACATTCTAATTTATTGAGATGCACCTGTACAGTTACATGCTGTATTTACAGTATGCACATAAAGTGATAATGTATAGACTATCCATAAATATTTGGGCACTCTGAACTGTTGAAAGATTTGCAACCATATACTGATAAAATGACAAAAATAAAAACTTTTCTAGTAATTTTAGTGGCCTTAACAGTTTATTAGATTAGATTAGATTAGATTAGATTCAACTTTATTGTCACTGTGCAGAGTACAAGTACAGAGCCAATGAATTAATGTGAATATCCAGAAAATAAATGTGCATGTATGTATACTTAATTATTATTGTATAAGTGTAGCACAATATAGTATATTATCGTGAAGTGTAGCACAAACCATTGTCACTATTCTAAAGCATATAAACGGTAGTGCGCTTATATGCTTATGTATTTGAAATGTAATGAAATGACAGATAAATCTGAATTAAAACACAGCCACCTGTTTAAAAAATGAACAGAACAGACATCTGATGAAAAAAAAATAGCTGCTCTACTTTTAATAAGGAAGTGAAAGTAGATTTAATTGTTAGGGAACAACAGATTTATATAGCAGCTTCTTTGGATCACATGTTTAGTCACTTCACTTTTTCATCTAATACTTTTTTAATTAATATCTTCATGTTTAAAATCACACACAATATTTTTTCTACCTACACCAGCTATGAGTAGCAATAATATTGTGCAGACTGTTGAGTTTGTGTCTTTGAGTGAACTCTTGTCTACGTCACATCTCCTCGCTGAGGCCTCTACAGTCATTATCTAAAACAGCACCAGTTGAAGAACCTCAAGAGCTTCTTGAAACAGCTCAGGCCAAAATATTCTGCTCCTAAATTTAGCAAAGAAAAAAATTAGCAAGGAAATGGCAACATTGAGGAGAAATTAAACAGTACAACAGCAAGAAACATGAACATTAACATTTTTTTTTACCAAAGACAGTAGGTTGTAATTGCTAAATTTGGTCCTTAATAGGATAGTTCACCCAAAAATTTGTTGAAACTGTAAAAACATCCCAACAATTCACAAGTAATCAAAAAATTGTGAAGCGAAAAGCTGCATGTTTGTAATGAAGAAATCCATCAGTAAGGCATTTTTAACTTCAAACCAGATAAAATGCAAGCCATCTATCCATAACATTGTTTTGTTTTTTTTTCCAGTGAAAATGTCAGCTTGTCTGAATCAGCAGAAAAATATGCACATCAAGCACCATTTACATGCAAAAACAGTCCAAAACAGTTCTAAACAAATATGTGGGTGGATTTTAATGTGAGAGGAGATCACTGGAGGAAGAGTTATTATGGATTATGGACTCGTATTTTGATCAAAAGCGATGATTTAAAGTTGAAACGCCTTAATAATGGATTTGTTTATTACAAACACACAGCTTTTCACAAGATGTTAATTGTGGATTACTGTGATGTTTTATCAGCTGTTTACACTCTCATTCTGACGGCACCCATTCACTGCAGAGGAGCCATTGATGAGCAACTGATATGTAATGCTAGATTTCTCCAAATATGAAGAAACAATCTTGAATGGCCTGAGGGTAAGTAAACTTTACGCAAATTTTCATTTTTGGGTCAACTATTCCTTTGATTTATGCCTGCTCCCAAAAATGTTAAGAGTATTTATTTTCCTGTAGTATATTTATCACTTCCATAAATTATTGTTTAGGAGAAAAACTTGCTAAACCACGTTTCCGTGGTTTTAAACGGTGTGTTGTATAAGAAAAGCATGAATAAAGGATGTTGGGAAGCCACTCCCTCCGCTGCCCTCCCTTGAGACTACAGAAGAGACAAGCCAGAGTCTCATTCAAACCAGCCACACACTGGGACAGCAAAGAATTCACACATACAAACACATGCGCACAGACAAGCACACATCAGTAAAGACGTGCTCCAGTACAGAGCGTTACAGACACACACAGAGGGGCTTCCCTTGTGAAACCACTCACACACTGTCTGTAGCACTTTCTACCTCTTGCTTACAAACACACACACACACACACACACAAGCAACAGCTGTCAACATGTTGTTGCCAAGAGCTTTGACCCTGTTCATCCTGTGGGGTAAGTTGTTTTTATTATAATTTTTTTTTTTCTGCAGAAAAATTGTCATTTGCATCCCAGAACTGCATTTCCAAAGCATTTGGTCTATCAAGTTTGAGTTTCTGGAAAACTGTTGCCAAGTACAGGGCAAAGTTTATGAATTTGCATCATATTGTGTCACTTTAAGATATTTTACACTCTACTATTGGAAACTGTTTGAGGACAGTCTGTAATTGCTTAACAATTGTTAAATTATTCAGTGATGTAGTGATACTTTGTGTTTGTATGTGATACCTAGTGTTTCATCCAGTATAACATAATGCTTAATGCATAACAGGCACTGTAAACAAACTTCAAGGTCGATGTATGTGAGAAAATGTACTAAGCTAAGTTTTTACTACATGTAAAAGCATTCAAATATTGCTAATTTTAAGCAACATTTTTCTAAGTCTACTTAGTTAAACTGTATCCATAGTTAAGCTGTATGAGTTAAAGGTTTAATTTAACCTTCGTACCTGTTACTCAAGGAAAGTGGTGGAAAAGTCAAATCATGCTTCCATGACTTTGATAAGTTTTATGATTGGGAGTAAAATCCTTTGAATAAAGTTACCTGCTTCTGGCACTCTTGCTCAGTATGACTCAGCTCAACTGTGACATTATTTATTTATGTATTAAACCTCACAATTCCCTGAATTCAACGGGACAACCAACAATGTAATGTTCTTCTTAGAGAATCTCTTAGAAATGTCATGTTTGCAGGTGACACACTGACACCTGAAACCACCCGTCATCTGAGCGCATCTAAAGCTGATAATAATGTCCTTTAATCAGCATTATTGGTGTCTGACAAGTGTAGACATAACAGATGAGCTGCTGACATGAGTAAAAATGTCTAATCTTACACTGGAAACATGACTCAACTTCTTAGATTATACTATGAATATTTCAAGAACACAGCATCTGAACTGATATATCATGCATGTGATCTGCTAAAATTAAATGCTTGAAATAGTTTGTAGACTTCCTGAAAAGAATGAAATGTTTATACTAATTCCTATGACATTTTGTTTATTCCATTGACTCTATTCAGGTTCTGCCTCTTGTGTGCGGTATCGGGCTGACTTCAATATGATGGGAGTCACTGGTTGGATCTTCTTCGACTCCACAGAGCACAAGTCCACCGTTAATCTCACAGGAACAGGCACATGTCGATACAATATCTCCCTCACTACGTTCCCGGTTATGTACGGCCATTTTGCTTCACCTTGTCAAAAGTCACACATAGGAAACAGTGTGTTCATGTTTACTGTAGATCAGCCTCAGGCTGCTGTGAATGTGTCTACTCTGTTTGAACAGCACATTAGTCTGGATGCCCTCTCGGTGCTGGTGGACACATGTAATGGTGCAAGGATTTGTGCCAGACTTACTTCGGAGTCCCAGGTAAGAACATGGCGTGCACGGTTTTTCAGTCCCGTGGCTGGAAACGTCTACATCCGGCAAGTGATGGGAGAAGCAGGAGCAAGGGTTCTCTCAGATCTAAGAAATGTCGATCAGACCAGGATTTTTTCAAATGTCACGATTTTAGTGTCACAAAGCTCTGCCACCAGCTGCAATGCACTTCTCAGTAATCTGGATCCCAAGAGTCTTACAAAGCTGGGCGTTTTGAATGTGGGATCACCTCTAGAACCTGTTCAATCTCGATTGGAAATATCTCATCTCAATTCTAATGTCCGCTTCGCCGTTCTCGACTTGACCTCAAGCTACATGTGTGCAGAGATCCGAAGCATCGCAATGAAGGTAGTTAGTGCTGTTGTGAACATGCAAGGGATTAAAGGCTACTTCTCCTTCCGTCAACCATCTCCGTTTGATCTCACTACCATCACTGTTAACCTGACAAACCTGGACAGAAGAGTTGGGCCGTACCACGTTCATCAGTTTCCCCTTCCCCAAATGAGATCTCCGTCAGATAGCAGCTGCAGTAACGACAACCTTGGGGGTCACTGGAACCCGTTTAATGTGAATACTCAGGCACCAGCGTATCCGCCACCGAGAGGCTCCACTCATGATCTCTTTGAGGTCGGAGATCTGAGCGCCAGGCATGGGTCTCTGGAGAATACGAATAACTTTCAAGCCACTTTCATGGACTGGAACCTGCCCCTGTTTGGGCGGAATAGCATTGTGGGTCGCTCTGTTGTTATACACATGCCCAACTCAACCAGATTTGCCTGTGCAAGTATCGGCTACCCAGACGAAGTGACTGTCGCCAAGGCTACCTTTCGTGGTCTGGTTGTGGGAACGGTCCTGTTCACCCAACTCAGTAGTGACCCATATTCTGATGTCTCCGTATTCTTGGACCTATCCTACGGACAACTTTCTGCACCTTCTACGGTGAATCACAACTGGCATGTCCACAACTATCCCATCAGCACAGAGACTGACAATGACAAGGGATGTTGTCTGTCAACTGGAGGACACTGGAACCCATACAACATTGACATCACAGTGAGTGCATACGCTGTAAACTGTGCTCCCGACAGCCCTTTTGCTTGTGAAGTTGGGGATATCTCTGGCAAGCACAAGACTGTGGACCTACAGTCTGAGATGGGAACGGTGGCCACCAAGAACTTTTTTACTGACACCACTTCTTGGGTGTCTGGAATGATTGGACGTTCTGTGGTGATACATGGTCCAAACCAAACAGGTCCACGGATCGCTTGTGCAAACCTCACCTTGTACCATTTTCCATCTGCTCGCTCGGATTCTTGGCTTGGACCTGGAACCTCTGAAGGTCAAATCCGATTCTCCCAAGTGTCTCCTCAAGGACCAACAATCCTAAATATCTCCTTTACCGGGCTTAATGCGAGAGCCGGAGGCTACCACATCCATATTCTTCCAATCAAAAGCACACAGGAACCTTGCTCTGACACCAACATCATGGGACACTTTAACCCGTTTTCTGTGAACGCAGCCTCATCTCCAGCTCCAGGGAATGGTACGGTTGACCAGTATGAGATTGGAGACATCAGTGGGAAGTTTGGAGACCTGACCGGTCAGAACAACTTTCAGAATCAGTACACGGATGGAAATATGCCACTTTCAGGACCGAACAGCATAATTGGCCGGTCTCTGGTCATACATTACACCAACAGCTCAAGGTTAGTTCCTTACGAATCGTACATCCTCAAACAGTTACCTGGCACAGCATTTTGACCTCTGAAATAAATATAAGATATTAGTTTGCTTCTCTTCTGTTAGAAGCAGAACCATAAATAGGTGAGACAGGAAACCAACTGCAGGTGCAGGTCGTGATACAATTGATTCCCAATTCTGCATTTTGTCTCAGTTCCTCTTTGACAATCTGCGGCATTAGCCACATTTAACTGACAACAAGATCATTTTTTCTGTCAGATATCTGAAATACCTAAAAACCAAACTGTCACGAAAAGCATGTGTGGGAAGATTCACACAGCTCATTCCTCTACACACATCATTCATTGATTATCTGTACAAGTAATACACCAGATTTCTTTGACTCACCCAGGAATGAGGGAAGAAAGTTTCAAAACTTACTTGAACATTATCAACTTAAAATGGTTTCTTCCACTATTTACAGAATGCGGTGTGCAGATATATCAGCAGAAGACTCCCCATATGGAAACTGGGTGATGGCCAAGGCCATGTTCAGTAGTGCTGTAACTGGGACAGTGACGATGGTAAAAATAAAATTACATTATTTAAGCAGATTTTTATAGGTGTTGCTTGCCTGTTCATAACTTTTCTGGTTTTGCTGGTTGGTTGCGAAGACCATGTTGCTAAATGGCTTGAATTGCCTGTTTTGAATTGTTTTCACTGTTCCTATGGTAGCTAAATTAGAGGGAATTGTGAAAAATAAGTATCTCCCTCATCTCTACTCTCTCCCACACTAAAGTGGTTTAAATCTACCGTCACTTTAAATCTGCCACAAAAAGATGACGCTGCTAATAATGCTGGATAGAGGAGGATGGGGTGGAGAGGGGTAACTGGGTGAGGCTGTGGTTGTGGAGGGGTACAGCTCTTGTCCTGCTGGGACGGTATGCAGGCAGATGGATCTGTCACATGCCGCACAGCAAACCAGCAGCTGTCTTGTGGTCTTGGTGTTGCATGCGGAAGAACGATACACATGGTTTACAGCAATGAGTAATCATTTTATATTTATAACACATTTTGTCCAAAGCATCTGGTGCTTTTAAGCATGTCTTTAATTATTTTTATTTTTTTTATCTTTGCCACCACCCAGTCCTGAAGTATTGCTTATACAGTACTTTATAAAGTTTGCATATTATATTACTATTATATATATAAACAAATATTAAATGGGTCATTCCGTGTCAACTCAACCAGAGGTCCTCGGCTTAAATTTTTGATTTTGCTAATATTTTTCTGAAGAAAGATAAACATGTATAGTGATGAAAGCCAAAATATTAAATGCCATAGATTATTATTTACTGAGTAATCCACTGTTTTGTAGAGGCGAGTCAAAATGGCAATTTTCACCTGAGATTCAGAGCCAAATTACAGTGCTGTAGACTTCAGAGAGATGGCAGCATCTTTGTTTCATTTTTACACAGAGATTGGTAGGTCTGTTAAAATCTGTTGACTTCAGCAATCTTTGTTGCATTATGTGCCAATGGTGGAAAGAGCACTTTGCTAGTTTTTTCCTCCAAAGTTTGCATGCCTATAACTATTAAAGATATGTAAATGCCCTTTTAGACATTGTGTCTTAACAAACTTTCCTTTTGGCATCTTCATTTTTTTAAGACCCTGTATGGTCTTGTTCCAGAGATACTGCAATTTTCAATATGGCTCCATTTTGGTGGGAGAGGATCAAAATGGCTATTTTCAGAGTCAAATTACAGGGGAGTAAAAATGCAAAATCAAAAATTTGAGCCAGGGAGGTTTTTGAAATTTGGTTGATTTGACACAGAATGTCCCAACTGTAATAAATTCATGCTAAATGATACACTGTACATGTCATTAGTCCCAGCTAACCTTTCCAGATGGCAGCTATGGTGACGTTATATTGGAAGTGGATGTGCGGGCATCACAATTATCAAATGTAAGTTACATTTTATCAGCTTTTTTTATTAGTCATGTTAGCTATCACAATTAAATGTCATTTCGTTGAATAAGAGGAAATCTGCTATTGGTTTCCAGCTTGCAGAGGCTTCCTGGTACATCGCATATAAGCCAGTGGGGTCAGATGGCACATGTCCTGGTGAAGAAGAAATATTTAATCCATTCAACATGACAAATGTGAGTGAGGCCTATTTTCTCATCAAATTGTAAAAATATTATACAAAATAATTAAGACCGAAATCCTTCTCTCTCAGATGAACAGCTGTTCTCAGGTCAGGTTTCTGTCCTGTCTGGTTGGAGATTTGATGGGAAGACATGGATCCATAAGTCTCACCAAGAGACAACTGTACAATGACATTCTGTTGCAACTGGCCGGAGACTTCACAGGTAGCAGATATGAATAACTTTAACACTTCATGTATAGTGATGAAAGCCAAAATATTAAATGCCATAGATTATTATTTACTGAGTAATCCACTGTTTTGTAGAGGCGAGTCAAAATGGCAATTTTCACCTGAGATTCAGAGCCAAATTACAGTGCTGTAGACTTCAGAGAGATGGCAGCATCTTTGTTTCATTTTTACACAGAGATTGGTAGGTCTGTTAAAATCTGTTGACTTCAGCAATCTTTGTTGCATTATGTGCCAATGGTGGAAAGAGCACTTTGCTAGTTTTTTCCTCCAAAGTTTGCATGCCTATAACTATTAAAGATATGTAAATGCCCTTTTAGACATTGTGTCTTAACAAACTTTCCTTTTGGCATCTTCATTTTTTTAAGACCCTGTATGGTCTTGTTCCAGAGATACTGCAATTTTCAATATGGCTCCATTTTGGTGGGAGAGGATCAAAATGGCTATTTTCAGAGTCAAATTACAGGGGAGTAAAAATGCAAAATCAAAAATTTGAGCCAGGGAGGTTTTTGAAATTTGGTTGATTTGACACAGAATGTCCCAACTGTAATAAATTCATGCTAAATGATACACTGTACATGTCATTAGTCCCAGCTAACCTTTCCAGATGGCAGCTATGGTGACGTTATATTGGAAGTGGATGTGCGGGCATCACAATTATCAAATGTAAGTTACATTTTATCAGCTTTTTTTATTAGTCATGTTAGCTATCACAATTAAATGTCATTTCGTTGAATAAGAGGAAATCTGCTATTGGTTTCCAGCTTGCAGAGGCTTCCTGGTACATCGCATATAAGCCAGTGGGGTCAGATGGCACATGTCCTGGTGAAGAAGAAATATTTAATCCATTCAACATGACAAATGTGAGTGAGGCCTATTTTCTCATCAAATTGTAAAAATATTATACAAAATAATTAAGACCGAAATCCTTCTCTCTCAGATGAACAGCTGTTCTCAGGTCAGGTTTCTGTCCTGTCTGGTTGGAGATTTGATGGGAAGACATGGATCCATAAGTCTCACCAAGAGACAACTGTACAATGACATTCTGTTGCAACTGGCCGGAGACTTCACAGGTAGCAGATATGAATAACTTTAACACTTGTGCAGATAATCACATGCATTGGAATAGATCTTATTCATAGAAATGGTCTCAATGATTTACCCGCAGTTGTCCAGAGGTCATTAGTTCTCAGACTCAATAACACCACAACCGCATGTGCAGATATTCTCCCAGAATCTCCCTCTGCCATGCAGATCTTCCCCAAAATGGCCTCCTTCGGCAGGTATATTCTTCAGCTCCATAAGTGTTTATGCTTTTAACTGGTTTAAATATTCAGAAATATTATCTGTATCAACCTAACTACTAAAAAGGCCTTTAAAAAAAAAAAAAAAAATTAGATTAGAAGTAGATCCTTAAGGTGACAACTGCGTGTTTTTACTATATGAAATAACAATTAAATTTCCAATTATATACATATTATGCCATTGCCAGTGACTTGATGTTTCATAACTTTAAAGGGGTCATATGATGCTGCTAAAAAGAACATTATTTTGTGTATTTGGTGTAATGAAATGTGTTTATGCGGTTTAAGGTTCAAAAAACACATTCTTTTCCACATAATGTACATTATTGTTTCTCCTCTATGCCCCCCCCTTTCTGATTTTTACAAAGCTCATCAGTCTGAAAAAGCAAGGTGTGCTCTGATTGGCCAGCTATCCAGTGCGTTGTGATTGGCCGAATACTTCAAGCGTGTGACAGAAATGTTACGCCCCTTAACATACTGTGATGCCTTGTCCCGGCACGACGAGACAAAAACATTAAAACCCATTATAATGACGAAGCAGATATCGTCCTCTTTTGGAAGGACAAACAAAGTAGTTTCGCTTTCATAACGAAACACACAGCGCCTTCACAACATGGCGGCAACAACAATACTACAGCAAGAATAAAAGTTATGCCTTCTTTCTTTGCGTGAACATTTGGGCAGCGTTATGCAAATCTTCCCACATTGTGACGTAGACATGTGGGGGCGTGTTAGAACGAGCCGTTTTAGGTAGGCGTGGTTGACTCTTAACTTTTATAAAGAATATCTCTTTGGATTTGAGACTTTAGTCTTTGCAATTTTACAGATCTTCTTTATGCACCAAGAGCTTGTAACACTCCAAAGAGAAAGGAAACATTGAAATCGCATCATATGACCCCTTTAATTAATGTTTATATCAATGTCTTTAGTAAAATATCTGAATGTTTTATTTTTAAAGCCTTGTTGGCTGAATTTCACAAAGACAAACAAAACTGGAAAAAATAATGGATGGGAAATGACTATTATAATTCAGATGACTCCTGGTTTCATGTAACACACAATGCTTCACCTTACTGTAACGGTTTTTAGTACATGCTGTGATGTGTTTATTTTTTAATCCTTTAAAGCATAAAAGAATAATCACAGGTTACATTATATATAGAAAATAAATGTTTGCATAAGCAATACATGTTTTTTATGACACATTTACTGTTGTGTACAGGTATGCCTTCCGTAAGAGAGTGGCAGATGTGTTGAACCTCCACATATCCAGAGTTTCTATCTTACCTGGTTCTCCTTTACAAGGGTCTGATGGGAAATGCCAGCAGGTCAATTATCTGGTGTCAGGTAACACAGAATAGCACAGAATTTGAAGTGAAACCTTTTAAGGAATTGCTTTCATCTTCACAAAACATCTTAAAAACTTATGCCCATATCGTGAGATACTGAAAAAAAAAAAACAGTGAGATGCTCATCTGACACATGTATGCATTGACCAACAATTAAAAATAGCTCAATGTTTAATGGTATGGAAATAAAATGAATAATATATTGTTATACAATATGCTATTCTATAAATATCTGCAATATAAATATATATTCTATAATGTGTAAATATACACATAAATATTGTGTAATTAAATCAAATATAATGTATTAGTTATTAACAGCCATAAAATGTATAAATAATATTAATAATTAATGTTATAATTAGACAGGATGTAGGTGCAGTAATTTTTATTTGCAACTAAACCAAAAATAACAAAGAACTCAAAGGTTAGTCAGCAGTCTTAGGTAACACGAACAGAACAACCACATTACCAATGACAATAACGCACAAACTGCGGGCTAGATATACACAAACTAATGAGGGGTAAAACAAGACAGGTGTGACTAAATGAGCCAATGAGTAACCATGGTAAGTGATAAACAGACAAAGGAAACTGATCTAAAAACAGTGCAAACTAACAGGATAACTCAAACCATGAATGACAGAGACAAACCAACTCAAAGTACTACAGAATCAAGTATAGTGCGTGTAAGGATGAATTGGCTATTGATAGCCCCTTTGATTTGATTGCCAGTTAGATTTGAAGACACGATCGTCTCATGTTGCTAGCTTACATACACTAATGTACATCGGAACGGCAAAGGTATATATAAAACAGATTAACGTAATGCACATATGATAGTTACAAATATCAAATATCACACACTTACATTTCATTGACGCACAACACCCGTGAAAGTAATAAACATATAGTATGCACAACGGCAGAAGTTTAATGACCGCATCGGCGCTCTGATGAACTCAACTTCAAGTGCCATGGGCGGGATATTCGCCTGTGTGTAGGTCGGCGAATTCTGATTGGCTGCCGCGCGGGATGCGGCGCATCTGTCAATCTCAGCAGAAGGAAAAAGACGTGATCAGCACTCATATTAGTTTGACAAATTAATGGCCTTTTTAACAGTGTGTATAGTCATGTATAGTGTGAGCAGTCAAGTTGCAGCTCGACGATTGATGTGAGCACACAAATCCTGAGCTTTGGCTTTACATCGCATGCGATTTATTTGTACAGTGAGAGTTGGTCTTTAACAAAAAACATTGCTGAAATCGCAGAGTGTATGCCCCGCTTAACCCTGACATTATCCCTATTATATATACTATATATAGTACTATATATATAGTATTATTAACATTAAAAATATAAATAATTCTAAAATATAGGCTAATATTAATATTATACATATATTCCAGTACAAGAGCTGGCAGAAGAGAGCCACACTTATGTTAAATCTTTTGAGGGTTTTTCAAGTTGTTTGATTGTTGCTCTCCTCTCCTGAACTTACTAGGTATGCTTTGTCTGTCAAAACAATGAACAATCCCCTCCTTTCAAAAGACACAAAAAAGGAAAATTGCACCGTAATCTGATGCGCGTTTGGAGCGTAGAGACCCTGTGATCTTGTGCAACATCGTGAAACAGGAGAGTGGTACATGACAGAGTTCTTTACCACAGAACAACTGAGGAAACAACAGAAACATTGTATTTAATTATTTATTTATTTGTTTATTTTATTTTATTTATTTATTTATTTATTTAACTATCTATTTATTTTTGATGAAGTGCTCTATAAAAATCATTTTGAATTTTACAACTACAACTATATTAAAATAAGTTTTTTTGTGAGTTGGGGGGGAGGGTGAAATGGTGTTGCTATATAATTGCATACTAAATATAGTACCGAAATAACTTTGTAGCTGCCTATATGGCATAGTTGAAATAATTAAAATCATACTGACAGCTGACTGGTCAAACAAACAAACAAACAAATAAATAAAAATCCGGACACTACAGGCAAAAAATTGTTTTTTCATCCACAATTTTGAGATTTTGGCTATTTGGCTTTCCATAAAGTGGTTTTTTTTTTTTCAGACTAGTGTAAAGAAAAATGCAAAAAAAAAAAAAACCCTTCAAATGATTATT